ACCAACGAATGGGCAAGAGCATATAAAGGGTATGCTCTGTCATTGCCTAAGTGAGAAAGATAAGCTGCAATGGGCAGGACACGTTTCAAAAGAAAGTCACTATCGCTACACCAAAGAGATATTGGGTTTCAAGAGACAGTAAACGGTACATCAGAAGACCTCAAGAACGACGGCAGGATGAACTGAACCCTGGTGGATCATGATCGATAATTGTAGAAAACAAAAGTCTATGTTATTTTGAGGACTTCCACCGAAGTTGATCGATAAAGGATGTAATCTTTAGAAAGTTTAGCAACTCCAACAAGTTTGTCCTATATTAATGCCGTTTGACTGATGACTTCAGAAAAGACCATATTGTGAATTCTGGATCAAGCATTCATGTCCCCATCACCGGAGACTACAAATTCTTGCGCAACAGTCATAGCGCTGATGATAACTCCAAAATAACAGCATCGCTTTTTTCGAAGAAAGGAATCTATTTGCCGCATTACCGGAGGGGACATTCAAGTGAACGAATTGAATAGATCTAAAGATTTCAACAGCGTATAAATGTCTCAAGCAGAGTAATATTTTTAGACTTCAGATCACCCTAGGGTACTGCATGCTTTGCAGTAATTCAGCAGTCATTGAACGTTAACACTTACCAAAAGCGCTAAATTCACTGCCTCCTCCCAAAGGCCTAAAATCGTATAAATATAAACGCACGCACGGAACAGGCTCTTCTCCTTGCACAAACGCAACACATAAGACGGGTCGAAGCAGATGTCGGTCAGATCCTAAAGAGAAACATAACTACAGAATAATGCTTCGAGAAGGAATAAGTAAAAATCGAAAAGAAATAATAGAGAATAAGCTAGGAAATATTCTAACTAAACAATAACAATACAGTTACGGCTTGGATCAAATAAAAAAAGGCATCTGACCCAGCGTGAAGCGCCTTGGTCAAAAAAAGGTCTCAAACGGCAAGGATCTACTGCAAAATCATACAGTTCACTAAAAGAGCACTAACACGAAAGAATTTCTCAGGTTGTTCTGTTGACATCAAATGATGAATATTCCAGAGAAATTCAATTACAGTGCCTACGCGTTGCCTTTCCCTCAACCAACGAGGTGATATGTTGAATAAAAGCCGGAAAAGGCGTAAGCCATATTTCTCTTGGATGACCTAAAGCGGTACAAAAGGTCACTCAGAATTGTACAAATTAGTCTATCAGTTCCTGTTGGACAACATCGGTGTGAAACAAAGAATGATCAAGAAAAGCAGCGGCATGAAATTATCAGCTGGTAAAATAAGCAGCTTGAAAGACGATTGATCTTACATATAACTGAGCTGCGTATTGCAAGCGAAAATGTCATAATCGATTATACAGAACAATATATGACAAGAACACGTAGAATTCTGAAGATCAATCTGTGGGAGAAGAATAAATTTTAGGCTATTAATGAGTACGAATGTTCATGAATACAGGTGGCATTGTAGAGTGGACACAATGAGAAATGCAATAAACTGGACAATCAGACAGAGCAGATTCTAAATGTTCATGGGTTCATACGTCTGACAGCAAACACGAATTGGTTGTGTACAACTGCTAAGCAACGATGATGAAGACTTCATAGCATGAAAGATACTAATAAATTAGTGTCATCGAAAAATTTTTCATTTGGATAATGAAATAGGGTGTTGACGGCTGTAAAAATCAATCATTTACTTGAAGGAAAGCTGATAAGGTCTGAAAATGAAGGAAATCCACAGGACAATGTAAAGCACTCGATATGAAGGTTGAAAGACTACTTTAAGACCAGCGTCTTAAGCGACTTGATGAAGACCCAGAAAACCAAAAAAGGTTTAACTGGCCATCTAGAAATGGACTCCTTCGGCAAAACCTTAGTCGTAATAGTCGCCACTCAAAACCTAGTACTAAGTACGAATTCGAACAAAGTCACCATTCTGCAACCTCACCAAGAAACAAAGACTAAAATGTATCAAGCCAAAGATGAGATCGCGATGCCTATAGTTTCCGGTTGCCAAATGATAGCTAATGGCCACACAAAAAAGCCCAAAATGTAGCAAAAATAGTCTAATAGGATTTGTGCAAAGCGATTATAGCAGCGACAAAGCAGAAGTAAAAAGTAGAAGACACCATGTGGTCAAAGAAGTGGAAGACACAGTATAGTACGCAAACACTGGAATTTACCAGCAAGAACCAAGAAAAAATACCAGGCGCCTTCTAGACGTCGAATTAGTACACAAAGTGAAAATGTGAGCAGAAATCATATACGAAGCCTGAAAATTTTCAGTAATGCTGCTCTACGGGGTCAGGAGAGACTGAATATTAAAACGTGGAGATAGAAATAAGAAAGATCTGAAGAATAAAGAAACAGGTAGATTCTGAGGTAATTGGCATTCCAAATTCAGTAAGAAATGACAGATTAAAGTCAACTGATCAAAGATAACGGTTGAGGTACTGCAGAAGACGAAGGTGTTAGGAACAGTCCAGATATCAGTTAAAATGAATACTTCAGTTCCCAAAAGTTTGGTATATTATTCGAGTTTGACCGATGAACAACGGACTCATAACCAGTATGAGAAAAATGAATATATGATAAAAATCTCCGGTCACTTCTCCGGATACGCACGGCGAAGTTGCACCATTCCTTTCCTTGAAGTGGCCTAAGCGATCGCTTAAGCAAGCCATGACTCTAAAGTATTTTAATACCCGCAGTGTGGGAACGCCAAACACGATCATTTTGTAGATTCATCCGTAGGCATCCAAAATGCAAATTAACTCCGGTATTATCGGTTTAGTACCAGATTGTTATTCCGGCAAGAATAACAATCTACTGTGACCTATCCGGATTTAAATAGCCCACTCGTACCCTCTGATAGCTTTTAGTAAATAAATAAAATAAATAAACCAAGAAGCTAATAAACTAACACGTATCAATATATAAAAATAAAACTGTGCATACGGTTCCCTGTTTTTCCAGGTAGTCCAGAAGGCGTTCCGGAAAGTACTTGGCATAGAGGGACGCCAGATAGTTGTGTACAGCGTGGTCAGTACAATTCAACGTGTTGACGGAGAACTCCAAATAACGCACGACTTCGCCTGCCTGCAAATAATGGCATTAAGGGATCAGATTATACGGATAAGTAGAAGCGCAGAACGATTCAAATTACAACCTGGACTGTCGCGTCTTCACATCGAAACAGAATGGGCAGAAGGTTTGCCGGCTTTAGTAAGGAACCCATCTCGATCCAAGCACTGACCACTTCGCGAGGTGCGATTGTAATGAGTTGTGAAGAAAATTTGTAGAACAACGGAGGTGATTTCTACAATACAGAAAATAACGAACAACATAGCAAGATCCACAGAAGTACGGCAGTGTTTTAATAATTAGCTTTTACATTAAAGACATGCATCCAAAATTCCAACAAGACTAAAAATTTGCTCATCCAATTTTAATTCTTTTAAGCAACGAATCCTTACCCTCGTTCTTTCGCCAACTCTGAACCAACTAAATGAATTGTGAACTGCACGATAGGGGTAGCATTGTGTTTTGGTAAAAATACAACCATGCCATCGAAAATGTTTGCTTTACGTGTGCAATTTTCTTAATTCACAATATAGCTTATTAAAAATCAGGACGTGGCGTGAACCGTAAATTAGATTTAAAAAATTAAGATAACAGAAATCTGTTGATTTGCAGTCACAGAATCCATGAGCAAGGAACAAGCTTAGTTTCAAAAATTCACAGCCCAAGAGAAAGTAAATGACTTTAGGAGAATCGCCGGAAAATATTGTCCTTATAAGGCTTGAGAGATGCGAAACAAATTGATGTACCTTGGATTTTCCAACATAAGCTACATGGGGATCAATCAGGATTCATACTCATAGAGGGTCAGAGTACGTAGACTTCCACGCTGTCAATCCGAGTAGAGTGCAAGACTCCTACCTTAAACTCTGATAAAGATAAATTTCGCGATTCACTTTCACCGACAATGTCTGACCTAGCATGCCTCTAACGACAAAGAAACGAGAATGCGTTTGTGATCACCGCACAGATGGCCGGAATTCCGTATCGAGATTCAAGTAGAACGTGCTTTCGATCAGATTTAAAAGTTGTGCTTTCCAACAATGGCATTAAACCTTGGCTTGGATAAAATTGCTGAAAGGCCACAAAAAACAGTTTATCCCAGAAAGAAAATAAACCCCTTCAAGCAAACAAACTTTAATATAAATGAGGCATTTTCTCATTGTGAATCATTATTCCGTTCAGACATCTGTTTGGTCAAACCCATATTCCGGGCAAAGAAGGTATCCCACTTAAGAATCAGAGTATATTATAGAGCTCAAGAAATATTACTTGGAAAGGAACGTTAAGACGAACCGGACGACCATACCAAAGAGTGAAAAATAAAATGAAATTTATAAAATCAGTCTAGAATGTAGTGACCGTCAACTACTTTTCAGTGCAATACCCATCGAAATTTGCTACTGTAAAACAGATATGGAAATATATGAAAATCACTGTACAGTAAATCTTCAATTCATTGATTTGCATTGGCATCGTACTTATTTATTCATTCGTCTCTGTCTTTTCTTGTTATTGCTACCAATAATGTGAAGAGAAAATCACAATTATGGTTTTTATGCTAATAATAATCATAATCATTACTGCTGATCAAAGGTCAGGACACCGATTTCAATGCTTCAACAACTACAATGCCAGAAGTCTTACCTGCTTGATAAGGAACTTCAGCGCTTCGTCGTATTGCTCCAATTGCAGGTGCAAAGAAATGAGTCCCTCAGAATCTAAATATATTAATATTAAACAGATAATGAATTAGTAAATATTATAAGATTAGGTGTATTTTATTACCAAAGGTGTAACAAACTGCTACTGCAGCATTTACTTAATGCAGAAAATCATCAGAGAAGTTTTCAATTACCACTACACCAATCACGCAGCCTATGGAATAGGACAAACATTTAGTACTTATTCTTTATTAATGCTATGAAGGAAGATGCTTCAGCACTTGTACTTGTACAGCAAACAACAGAAAACA